AAATGAATAAGGAAAAAAAAGAATAAGGACTGGAATCATGGATAAATAGTAAAGAGTCAATAATTAGTTTTCTAATTTATTGAGATGTAGCTATAATGAGTACCTGTAAGGTGGAAAGGACGTTTTGGTCMGCAAAGAAATCCTACTTCAAAAAGAACGAAAAGAAAGTTAACGATAAAAACCACAGGGAACCCATGAAGTATCAACTGACCTTCACAAATTGATCTTTCTGGTAYAGTTGAAAATATTTATCGTATGTGTACATTTGGAGAACAGTTCTATTCGACATTCCCCTGAAACATAAACTTAATTTTATCAAATGACAGTTTTATTATCAACTTTCTACGTCTTCACCCGGGGTCTACAGTACAGCTCTACAGTTGTAGCCAAGACAACATTTGTAAACAGCTTTACACAACAATAAATCAATAAAAAATAAAATAGTTTACCATTTCAATAGAAGATCTTTAACTTCTGTAGATTCAAAAGACTGAAATCGTTTCGTAGGAACATGTGTAAAACTAAAATTACTACTTTTTACGTCCGCCATAATTTTTGTGCCTGCGATTTTATGACCAGCGCATTCGAAATGACATTTTCTGAAGCAAAGCATGATGGGAYTTGTAGTTCTCGCATTTTTTTCTCGCATTTTAGGGTATTTGGCRAGCCGAAAGCGCAGGGATAAAGGTATCGGGAACGAGGTTGATGTGCGCTGAAACAGCCGTCCTCCTTAATACCCGTTTTTTTCTCTGTAGAATAGAGCTAGTTGTGTTATTTGTAAACAACTTCATACTTCCCGTTTGCTTATTTTGCCTCTATTCGCAAAGTTATCAGTTGGCACTTCAAATGTATCTTTTGGAAAGGAGAAYTCCTTTATAAAGATACTTATCAATAATAAAAATGCTGCTTTAAATCTGTTGTTATTTTTAGAATTTTGACAATTTTTTCCTCTTGAGCCAAAAAAGGAACACTTAGAAAGGTACAGCACGCCAAAAATGTCAGATATACATCTTATCAACTTATTCTTGTAATTAGGCTTCCATCTATTGACGCAGACTACTAAATTGAGTTAAGAAATAAAACCCAAAACAATTTGCTACCCACAAGCATAAAAAGACAAAACAATAATTCCACCACTGGTACAGTACTTGGCGAAAAGAAAATACCATTAAAAATTAAGGACAGTCTGTAAGAATTATCTATTGCTGACCAAAAGAAACGATGATATCAAAAAAGAAAAAAAACATTTTATCTATCAACATTGTTTTAATTGAATCAATTGAGCTCAGCTGGTTCCTTCTATAAACATTAGTCACTATTACATCAAATTTACCTCGTTTTGTTATCGTTGTTACCCAACAACATAAAACCACAGGAATACAAAATAACGTATTAATACAACAAAAAAGTAAATACAGAACGAGTTTATTCTATAAGAAGTCTCTATATAGAGTTTTTAGATATCGGTCAAATTCTTATGGAGAAARATCCCTTGCAATGTAACTTGAATTAAATGAGCAAAAATAAAATAGATGATGCAATCCTCTCGTCGTTCCTTGTCGATTGTTTATCGGATTGAGTGTGAACCTTCATGAAGTTCAGTTTCTTTTAGACCGAAGCAGGCACAGCTGTACGCAGACAAACAAAAAAGGGTGTATTTATATAGCTTATTAATGTCAACATCAGTGAGTATTCTTTTTTTTTTTGTCAATTTTTTTAATTTGTGAACATGAACAGGTAATGAATTTGATAACCAAAAACAAAAACCACCTTACTTTTTCCCRTGTAAAAACAACGATATCAGTGACTAATTCAAACCATCAATAACATTTGTCATTAGAAGGATGTACAGCTGAACTTCAAATTAATTTGAAACGCGAAAGCACGCGTCATAAACCCTTGACAGGTTTTTAACATTCAGTAATGAACTGATCACCAATTCATCCCCATAGTGTCAGGTCAAATTATGAACATATGAGAGAATATCGCTAAGGCTTGATTCCCAATATACTTAAGAATATTTATAATAATATTTCACTTTTACAGCGAGTTTSGGGTATTACTCGCAAACAAAAATCTCGCAAATTCTAAGAAAACGTGGTACACATATACAGTATTTGGAATCATCTTTTTTTGAGCTATTATTCACGTTGAAAGTAAAACCAATACACTGTAATGGCCAGGTGTCTCCAATATAACAATATGATGAATTCTTTTAAAAAAATAGACTCAACAACGGTGGGACATCAAGACAAAAAAGGAGAAAACACGAAAACATGAATAGTGAATTTTACTGACTGGTAATGTTCACGTATTTTAATCTTCACTATTGTAACACAACTAGAGGAACATGAGGTGGTATTAGCGTTGACTGCGTCGGTGTTGAAACAGTTGTGATAAAAAGGATAAGATGATTACAAACCATAAACGATAAGCTTTAATATTTATTATAAATTGAAATCTTTGACAACTTATCCAACAACTGCAATAAATGATCACTTGTCAGCTAATAATCGATAGAATTCCTTATRGCTGATTTTTTTAAATGACCAGTGTGTTCCAAACAAGAAAATTCATTCCAGCGCTTGTTTATCCAGCCATGTCAAAACATGGTATGTAGTTTCATATATTTGTGAATAACTATGACTTAAAATGTTTTCCTGGTAATAAATGTAAGAGATTCATTTTCAGATCAGTCCTTAGATTTGTCACGCGTACCAAAAAATTCCAGGAATAAAATTTGGACACTTCCTTAGTTTCCTGGTCTGTAAAGCTATGCCACGAAGTCTATTGAGTTCAATTTGCTGATGACTTTTTTGTCCCATATATACTAATAAAAGTGCCGGAAATGATAAGAAAAGGAAATAACTGTCACGATCTTTGGAAGCACCGTCACAAGCCTGCATTTCAGTAATCTGTCAATCTCGCGTCGTTTATCCCACCAGGCACTGTGTGTCTCTAAATTTTAAATTTAGGTTTATTAATAGCAAAAGCATATATTGAAAAACTCTTAAATGAAAAATAGCAACTCCACGACGTGCAAGTCCAATTGGTACGCAAAAATTCAAAATATGAAACGACCCACCAACTACTCCAAGAGTAAATTTCTCGTACGCACAGGTTCTAGATATTTTTTTCGCAAACGTTTGGTTGAATATCGAGGACGCACTTAAGTTGTTTGGGTTAAAATTATCTGTCTGAAATTAAGTCGTTGCCGTGGAAAGCGAAAGTCTTGTTAGAGGCTTGCCACGAATTCATGAGACCAATACAGAATTTCCCATTCTTRAACACAGCTGGACGCGACCTCCAATCCTAATGCATACATCATTCAAAGCCAATGATTCTAACCGAGTCTCAAGTATTTAAATTCACATKGATAATTGCGTGGTGTTTTTGATAAAGATTTTTGGTTAGCTCATTTGAAATAAATAAGAATCTTGCTCTTGTGGCGTGTTATGGCTGTTTTGACTGCAATGTAATATACGAATCCGAGTCACGTTTACGATTCTTTGATTGAAAGCAAGAAAAAAAAAATGAATTTATAATCATAGTACTCGCTGTGTGTCTCAAAATAACGCTAAAACAAAACGTGTTTTTAGTCAGGTGTCATTATTTTCCCTAGTTGGACAGCGCTGTTTCAAACAATCAACCGAATTGTATTGGCTAATGTTTTTATGTGAATTATTGACTAGTTAACAAGCCAGAATAAAGAATAAAGGTTTTATTTTCCTTTTGAGGAAAGTAACATTTTWAAGTGACCTAGAAATGGTCGTAAGCGTTTTTGCCAGTCTTTGGTTTGTATGAGATATACGTCTTGTTCGAAAGGTAGTCCAGTTTTCTTCGGAAATGAGCGGCGAATCTAAACAATGGTAGAGCTATGATGAGCGCCCCGAATACCGCACAAGCACTTGCTATGATCTTCCCGCTAGTAGAAACGGGAACTTTATCTCCATAACCTATTGTTGTGATAGTTATAATAGACCACCAAAAAGCGTCAGGAATGCTTTTAAACTGAGTATTTTCAACATCATATTCGGCGAAAAACACCGCACTAGAACTTATAACCAAAATCATAATGCAAAAAATCATGAGCATACAGAGCTCTCGTATTCCACTGGCAAGAGTCAGGACAAATATTTTCATCCTCTTTGAATAGCGGAACAGTTTAAATAAACGAATCATTGTTAAAAAACGTAAGACTCTCAGAGGCATAGCAGCGTTTGGAGAGGTAACTTTCACTATTAGAAAGCTATAAAAAATAAAAACAGTCAAAACATCAATACAGTTTGCCAGAGTTAAAAAATACTCAAGTTTGTTTGGYAATGCCAAGAAACGAATCGCGCATTCCAACGTAAACCAAGCAAAACATGCGATATCGAAATTAAACCAAAAATTATTTGGAAACACGTGGTTGACGATGGRGGCGCTGCCCTCCAAATCACTGGTATGTACAGAATTTATAGATTTGATTGTTTCCAAACACGATGCAGTCACAGACATGTATATCACGAGTTGAGAGAATGTCGCAATCCAACGAGATATTCTTGAAGCATCAGGCGTTTCACAGAATTCCCATAATTTTCGCTGCCAAGGCGTCGTTAATCTTGAAGGATTTTGCTGGTTCATCATAAAAGCTTGAAACTTGATCGAACCTGCATTATTTTTGTCATTCTCTTTTGGTATCTGGAAAAATTCCATCTCCTCATCAAATACTTTATCAGGAACATTCTCTGGGCAAAGCAATCGTCCATTACTTTGATAATAAAATAATATTGCTTCAAAGGCTTGACGGTGGCGGTCGAAGAAGTATTCATTTCGTACACGATCGTAGTACTGGGTCCGTTTGTAATGGCAACCGAGAAGAGTTTTCGGAAATCGTTGTAGAATTTCCAGCTTTACTTCAAACACTGCTCCACTGACATTAAGCGTTATTCGGTCAGTCATTCTTTGCTTTGATTTGGTGCATTTCTAACGCGTTCATGTTCAATGTTTATCTTCTATTTGCAATCGCTGGTAATTGTTTTAGTTCAGATTCGCCAGTCATCTGGATGTTGTACGGTATGCGGCAATGTTTCCCTGATGGAGCGCCAGGGGGTCTTAACCACCGACGATTCTGTGGGGATAGGTTATTCCAAAATAAAGGATAGCTACACAAAAAAGGTGTGTTCGAATCTMCCCAAAGCACAAATTAGTTTGGCCTTTTCGAAGGCATTTCATATTTACTCTTCTCGTCATTTTCCGTTCATATAAAACTGACAGTGTCAATCACGTGATAAGCGGTCAGTTGCCGCTCAACACATTCGGTAAAAGAGCTGTCAAAGTGATTTGGATAATCTATGCCAAAATACTGGACTTTGTGACGATAAAAACCTTGAAGCGAATCTAACCTCGAAGAGACATCAATTAAGTCGAAAAGAGTTAATTGTCTTAGTCAAAATTTCAATAACGAGAAAGAGCTTGATTAAATGAAATACTGAAAACCACATARTTTTGGGAACACGAAACAGTATGTAGCCTTTTAAAGTTATATTTTATAGGAAGAAATCATGAATTAGTTGTAAATGATCCAGATAAAGCATAAAATATCGACAGAAAATAGACACACTATACAGTTTAGTGACGCTAAGATGACTTAATGAGAGGAAGGCCTGTTGGCTACTTTGAAAACCATATACTATTATGCTCAAATCAGATTTGCCGAAAAATGGCTTACTTTAAGTATATTAAGAGCCAGTCGGAGATAATTTATGGATAAGAGTTGAATCGGAAGACTTGAAATAATGCTTCGCAATTGAATCAAATTGAATAGCTCAATTAATTCGCCAAAACAAAACCTCATTCTTAATCCGAAATTATTCGTTGGCATTATTCCAATGTTAAGTACCCCGAATAAATAWCAAAAAGCATTCATGAAGTGATTAGTTAGGTTAAATTAAAAATAAATTTTCTTCTCTGCACTATCAGGATTTACGGTCAAAAATGTGGTAAGTAAAATGATAGTGCGGTTGACACTGACGCGTCGCGCTGTCATTTTCCCGCCAAAATACCACGTATTACCAGCAATTGCTTTAGTTTATCTAACAATAAGGATAAAGACAATTTTGACATAATAAATATATCAGTATTAAAACAGCCTCACGTCATTATAAGAAATTTAATGAGTTGTAGAAATTATAATAATTGCTTCGTCACGTATTGTCCAGTTTTCTTATATCTTTTTGATCTAAACTTGAAGAGGAAATTATTTATCGTATTATTATCCACGAAYTGCCTGCATATGCCARTGAGGATTTCCTCAATAACAAATCAATTTGTCAAGTTTACAAAGTCCTAAACAAATTCACGAAGGAAAAAAATCATCAAGTTACMACAAATGAAAACAGGCAACAATGRCARTTGAAAAAGAAAACYACTTCGTTGAAATAATGAATWATYAATTATATATATAAACATAACAAAAAGAAGTTTGTTGAAAAATAATACGGCAAGATGCGTCGCAAAAATCGGTCGCTTTTCTGCCGGTTCATAGCAACGGCTAGGYCAATTTGTATTTCGGCCTTCAAGATGATTTTGGAAGCATTTTGTTCAGCCGTCTGCTCATCCGTCTGCTGTACAGACGAAAGCTGACTTGGAAAATATAAAAAGATTTTAAATTGTCATGACCACATTCAATTACAACCTTTTAGTATTGGATTTAAGGCAAAAGTACCTCTTTTGTTTCAGACATCTTAACGTCTGGACTTTTATCTACACGTTTTGAAGACTTGAGGAGCGGATTAGGCGATGACGTAATTATTCAGAAGTGCTTGCTGCACCCAAGATTCTCTAATGGAAATTGGTGCAAGAGAAACTGAATTTCTACAACTAGTAGCAAGAAGATAGACGACGAACAGTACTATCAAACCACATTCATCTATCTCAATTTTCAGGTGCTTTTGGAGGAACTTTTCTCTAGGTCTGCCCATAATGGTCTGCCAACATCTAAATGATTTAGGCTTTGCTTAACGAGAACGAGTTCTACAGCCTATGGGCGTCCATCCATGATAAAAGTAAATCCCGACTGCGATTAAACTTTCCATTTCAACTTGAAGTCAGAACTCTGTTCGAGATCACATGGTACAAGAATAATACATTCTCTCTRGCTCACAACATTCCTTGCATCCAGAACATTCTCAGAAGGGTCAAGAAAAGGTGTGCAGATCACCTCATCAAATTGTTAAACTCCCGTTTACGCCTGCTCGATGAAAASGAAAAAACGGCGKTGAAAACTTTTGGTATGTCATATATTATATARATTATATTAACAGGGTAGATAGCTCCCACACTTCCTGGACTGTTCTCAACCAAATAGCCCAACTCACCAAAAAAAAGTTTTTTTWAAA